GGCAGCTGGCGTGTGCTTTTGTGAGCTGCCTTGAGCCACCGTGAGTGGCCGTCCAATGGCCAGCGAGCAACTGCCTCACCCGAGAAGAGCGCAATGATAATACCAACATAGGCCAGTGAAGCGATGTCCTCCACAGCTAGACTGAAGAACAAAAGGACAGCAACTTGTCTGTTCCTCTTCCCTGATTTCCCAATGCTGTTCCCCTCTCCCAATTCCCCAATAAAATCTTAAAGAAAGAAAAATAACTTGATTCTCTATCTCTGTGAAAAACTTAGCTTTAAAAATACAAATCTACAGCCATTCAGGCTTTTGTATTTGGGCTACTTGCCACAGAGAAACACAGCTGTGAAACATAATTAAAGTAGACCATAACATTTTCACTGCTTTATAGGTAAAGAACATCAGCCATACTGAGAAAAAATGCCTAGTCCGGGTTCTCTGGAGAACCACTAGTGGCCTAAATGACAACACATCTTCTCACCTAGACCACTAAAAATGTCCATTCCAAAAGGTGATAGTACTTTACTGTTTGCAACTTATGCAAAGAATGAGATACAAGATATTTCAGAAATTGTAATCCCTTTTTAAAGTCACTAAATATTTGTATTTCTATATTAAAAACCATACAGGGCCGGCCAAGTGGCTCAGTTGGTTAAGAGTTAGCTTAAGAGCGCGAGCTCTGAGTAATAGGGCCGCCGGTTCAATTCCCACATGGGCCAGTGAGTCTGCACCCAAGCTGAGCTGCCAACAGGCGGCAGGATGGCTCAGCTGGTGAGAGCATGTGCTCCTAACAATAAGACTGCCTGTTCCATGGTGGGCTACGCCCATCCGCAACTAAGACTGAACTCCGCACTGTGAGCTGAGCTGTTGCCCGGGTGGCTCAGTGGATACAGCGTGTGCTCTTAACAACAAGGCTGCTGGTTTGACTCCCCCATGGGTTGGTGGCTATGCCCACCTGCAACTAAGATTGTAACACAGCACCTTGAGCTTAGAGGCCACAAGCTGCCGACGGGCAGCCAGATGGAGACTGGCGCCCTCCACAACTAAGATTGAAGAACAACAACTTGGCTGGTCTCCCTTCCCCCACTCCCCAACACTGTTCCCCTCCCCCAATTCCCCAATTAAAAAAAAACACAAAAAACAAAACAAAACAAATGACAAAAAAACCATACAAACCTGAGTTCACACTAGGCGCTTACAGCTAAGGAAAAAAAAGAACACTAGCATCTATTTAGAATGTGAAAACATGTTTGTATGAAAACAAGTATTTTATCAGTCTACTTTCCATACCTTTTGCAATTAAGTGTAAGCTCTTTATATTTTTCATTTTTAACAGGGCTTAGAATTTTAATAGTTGAAAAAATATTAAAAAGATGGCATTAAAATGCCCAATAGATTGGTAATCTTGTCCCAAGAACTATTCATATTTCTCCTGTGTTCAGAGGCACAGGCTTCATAGAGACAAAATTAGAGTGAGACCAGACAACAGAACACAATAGGAAAGGGAAATACTCATGTCAATTGTTGAAAACTAGTTTTGTAAGGCAAGGCCTAAAAGTCCTTATCTCTGGCATGTTCAGTATGGAATGCATAGTGATTTCCATTCAGCTACTAGAGAAAGGTATTCTACAATGACAGATAGCCTTATCAAAATTACAATTACAGTATTTTTGCCAAGTATAATGCACACCCACGTTTTTGGCCCAAACTTCCAGGGGAAAACATTTTTCGTTTTAACTTTTTAATACAAATTTTTATTTGTTTACATTTAAGTACTTATTTTTTGTATTCTAAAGGAATTTTAGCATTTATTTTTAACACATTATGGTTCAAGAAATTTTACGTAACAAATAATTATAAAACACAAGAACAGATACAAGATACAAGAAGTTTTATGTACCAGTAACAAATTTATGATATTCACGCATCATAGAAGGCAAGAACTCTTGGTTGTTGCAAGTTGGTCATACGTTCAACAAAACTGATTATCGTATTCCAGAGTATTATTTTGCATACAGATATTGTTATTGATTTCCAGAGTTACACTTTTAACTCATAAGCATAAATAAAAGAATCAAAAACATTTACACATATATGGAATTAGTACTACCCATGTATAATGTGCATCCTTATTTTTCCCTCACAAATTTGGGCAAAAAAGTGTGCATTGTACACGGCAAAATACAGTAGCTGGCTTCCTCTGCAGGGAACAGCAGTTGAGTAAGTAAGACTGAACTGAGAGCTCTTACCAGTTTTCTCAGAAATGATTTCTTCATCATGGGTATTTTGCCAACTGGTTAGGTCTAGCATGAACATGTGATTTCTTAAAGAATGAGCTGGGATCTGCTAACATGCTTCAAAGGAGCACTTAGTAAAAGCTAATCTCTAAGCAATACAACATCAATTATTTAATTTTTAAGAAATTTTTTCAATAAATATATTATTCTTTTAATATTAACACGCTTAATCTGCTTAGATTGTTGAGAGTGCTTTTTACTGTGTCTGTAATTTTATAGTCAGGTGAGATAAAAGATTCAAAAATGGTTTCATAATACATGGAAGATGAAATCTCAATTTATAGCATATAGTTTAACTCTTATATATGCAAGATTAATCAAAATTGTGTTTTTAAATGACAACTTGATATTTTTAAAATTGTACTCAGAAACACTACTGTGTGCCATTTATTTTAACACTGATCTTTTTAGGATTAGCTTTATTAACAGTATGACATTTTCATGCATTCTTAAATTTCACACTAGTTTTAATAATCACGATGTTTAAGTTCAAATCAACAAATATTCAAGCATACATGAGAAACGAATGAAATGAGATTACCTTTTTATATAATCAGGTCAATTCTTTTTAAGAATAAAAAGTTAATTTGGGATAGAAAAACCTAAATTTACAATATTACTGTTAATTCAACCATATGTATTATTTAGGCCACAGGGCTGCCCATGAGCCTTTCTTGTCGAAGAGCAATTAATCTCTTGAACCACTTTTCCTCAGCGTCAGCTTTCTCAATAAATAACTGAAATAAGAAACAGAAGAAAATGTTAATGCTTGCCAGTAACTTGTATTCAACTGTACATGATACAAATCACTTTTATAGAATATATCTTCCAGCACAAGATTTGGATACTGTTTAATTCTTGATGACTTCCTAATTAAAGATAATCTATTTGCAATTAATAATGCTTAGATAGTCTTGGAGTAAAAGGACTAATAATATCATCATTTGGTTAACAAGTTTATATCTTATTTTGTGAAGTTTATTTCCTGCAATTTCTTAGACACACAGCGAAATGACACCATTTCACAGAAGAGAGATCAAGTGACATGCCCACAGCTAGTGAGCCAAGCGGAGCTGAGCCTGAATGAGACCTTGTAGTGCCAGATTAAAAACAAAACTCTTCTTTCCGTCCATTTTTCTTAACCATAAAAAGAACACTTCTAGAAGTCAGGCGACATGAGTTGAACACACCATATTCAAATACATGTCACAGTTCTAAGGGTTGGAGGCCAGCTGCCTATTTTTAGCAAATCAGAACATACAAATACATTTCCTTCAATGGTCTTCTTGTCACCAGTGCAAAAGGACAGCTGGAATTAAGTTCAGTTAACTAGACTTCAGTTGACATCTTTAAGGTTTAAGGATCTTACATTTGGATGAGCCAGGGAATTGTCATCTTGGTACTTGATAGCAGTGGGGATGCTGCCAGGGTCTACTTCTTTTTCATTACTGGGGGGATCAGCAACTACTGACGCTGGTCCTGATGCTGCAGCTGCACTGGTTCCACTAGGTTCCACTGACTGAATCATAAAACACATATTATTTGTTGGATACACAATGTGATATATAGATGATGTATTACAGAATTGCACACCTGAAAGCTATGTAATTTTACTAACAATTGTCACCCCAATAAACTCTAATTAAAAAAACAACAACCAAGATTAAATCAAACACAAGAGAAATGATGCAATTGAAAGATGCAGTAAACATGACATGGATGAGGCTGCTGGCAGCATGACACGGCATACTGTTTTTACAACAAACCTTTTTCATAAATAGAAAGAGTACACTCTGAAATATCAATAAGAAGTATAATATAATAAATACATAAAGCAGTGAACAACCCACATATTATTAACTGCATCACAATGCACAATTAGAATGTTGCTTTAATATTTCTTATTTTGAATAATAATTGGTCAACAGTCTCCTCTGAGATGATATTAATCACAAAAGGCCCTAGTTTATTCAATAAGAAATAATTATTCCTAAAACAAGCAAATGAATACAAAAACATTGGGAAAATGTTTATCATTTCTTATGATCTTAAGAAATTGGTACTTAGGAATCTATACTATTGAAAAAAATGTATTTCATATATCTAAATTCTACTAATCAAAACAAACTTGTAACAAATCTCCAGCATTTAGTTGTGTTGTCCTCTTTAGGTATAAGAAGCAAATCCAAAGGTCATTTTTTTTTTCTTAAATAAGTCTTACTGAGATATAATTCGCATATTACAACTCCTATGGCTTTTAGCATATCCATAGAGTTTTGTAACCATGACACAGGCACCTTTAGAACATTTTCATCATCCTCCCCAAAAACCCCATACCAATTAGCAGTCACTGTGCCCCATTTTGCCCCAACCCTCCACCCCTAGGCAACCGTGAATCTACCTGCTGTTTCTATGAACTTGTTTATTCTGGACATTTCATATACAAGGAATCATACAATATGTGGTTTTTTTTGGCAACTGGCTTCTTTCATTTAGCATAATGTTTTCAAGGTTCATTTCAGTACTTCATTCCTTTTTATTGCTGAATAATAATTCCATCGTATAGAATATTATGTGCCAGGCACTATGCTAAGTGCTGGGGACAAAAACACTAATAAATCATTGTTCCTGCCTGGAAGGAGCCAGCAGTGTAGTGCTAACTCGGGTTAATTCCGTTATTTCCTTCCCTGAGAAAGGCCAGGGAAGTGGGATTAGCAGCAAGGTTTCAGGGATACTATGCAATGGATTAGATGAGAAGTTGAAATTAAAAGCTAAAGTAAAAAAATCAAGACAATTGGGAGATTAATTTAACTATTTAGCCTTTTTTCAACACCTACTGGTTCTACACCTATAGTTTTCCAATTTTCATTTTCTTTTGACTTATGTACTCCTGAACATTTCACTGAGAAAAACATCTAGAAAATGAAATTGGCATGATGAATTAATCCTTTCTTAGAACAACTTATTTTAGAATTAGAGATCCATCTATTAACCAGTATTTACTGAGCACTACTAATTTCTAAGCACTGGGTTCGCAGGGAGAATAAAATAGGTATGTTCCCTGTCCAAACCGGAGATTACATTTTGCTAATGGGGCTGACAGATTACTAACAAGTACATACCCAAAACAAATACATAATCACAAATTGTAACAAGTGACAGAAATATTTAAAGAAATATTTGTTAAATTTGATTTGGCAGTTTTCTTCTAAAATACTTTTCCCCGCCAGGTCTTAAACATTTCTGTCTCCAACATACTGGGCCTTGAAGGCTCATAGCCCTAAGTGATATTATACTGACCCTGTATAAAACTGACGACATATTACAGGAAAGCCCCATACTCTGCATAGGAAAAAGTGTGAAGTATCCTAATCCAGGGAGGTCCAGGACATCATTTTTGGTAGTCTATGCTGCTGTGCAGAGAATATGAGTATAACAGCATGTCATTCTACATATCTCAGCCATGCTTTGATAGGGCTTAGCTAGAAGACTGGCTGTCTGTGTTGAATGCCTTGAAATACGGTGGAGTGCTGTTATTTCAGTTGCCAAAGATACGGCAGAGATAATACTCTATTACAAAAACCAAGTAATCTCATTCAATTGTTAACTACACGGTACATGCAAGTTTTCTTTGAGAGGTTCTTATACACACATAAGTGAAGTTCTCAGAGGTTAGAATCAGAATATGGAAGTTATTGTTTAATAATGGGTAATTAAAAATGTGAGAAGAACCATTAATTGCTTCTTTATTTAAGTGAGAAAAATTGTTAGAAAAAATTTGACCTAAAAAACCCTCAAGATGGCCACTCCTGAACATCTGGCTTTGCGTAGCACTGCCACCTGGTGGATCAGTTTGGAAAAAATTGTTCTAAATTGTACTTCCAAGTAAAAAACAAATGACCTTTAGGAACATGGGCGGATTATCTGCCACATATAACAATTTTAGGGTTGAATAGTTGGTAATAGCTGATTAGGGACAACAGTGTGAAACAAACTGCATCTTGGTTCCTGAAGTTGATGATATAGCAGGAGCTATCAGATAGATTATCTACTCCCACAAGAGAAATACAATTACAGAGGGTTAAACTAGTTAAATCGATGTATGTTACAGGAGACACAGTGTCTAGCATGTCATCGGTAATAGCCACTTGTCTGGTAACAGCTCCCTAGCTTAATTAGTGGAATTAACATAGATAAAAAAAAGACTCTACCAATTGAAGGGTGGCTAGTATAGAAAAGCCTTTCTCAGAGATACAAACTATACCAATGTGTGTAGAACTTTCCAGGAAAGAAAGATTTGAAACTTGGGTCATGGGTAATTTAGTCCTCAAGAGAGCTAACCTTGGCTATGCATCAGGGATAGCCCATCACATCTCCCCACGATCTGGATGAAATGTCCTCAAGATAATTTACCTCCCTTTGCTAAGTAATCTCCTGATAAATAATTCAGCTTCTCGGGCATCCTGAATCCCTACCCTATACTGCAGACACAGACATTTTAGAAGCTGGAAAGGGATATCATTTTCTAAACTAATAAATTGGCTTCTGTTTCATATTACAGTTGAGTGTGAATTTATTCATTGTTGGCCCATCACTGCTCTTCTGATCATTTTGAAACATAGTGACTAATAAAAGTCCAGTGTTGGATGGCTAATACTTTAGACTACTGTACATTCACCAAGGTAAATGCCATCTTCTGAGGCTTTTTGCTTTTAGCATATTCCCCTATTGGTGCCACTTCCTACTTTTCAATCCATGCTTTCTTTATACTACAACAGGGAAGGTGTGTTGAGTCCACAATTAAAAGAGACATTTAATTAGTAGGAAAAACATGGGCTCTGAAGTTGGATAAATTTGGTTTAAATGTTGCTTCTTGTTTATCAGCAGTTTGACCATGAGTTATAAAATTTGTTGAGTCTCAGCTTCCTTAGCTGTAACCAAGGGGTACAGGGATATTAGATAAATTATATATGTTAAATATCTAGTATTAACTGTAGACATTATTATTTTAGTTATTTTAAGTTATTTAAATATAAAAAGGTGGGACTAGGATACAGCACTGTTTTACATCATTTGCTTAATGATTTAATGTTTCCAAAAGGCTTGGTCCAAAGCTGATGTCTGTACAGGATACCAAGTTACCGTGTAAAAGCTGGGAAGTAATTTTTAATTATTTGCTCAGGAATACAGTACGTCATCAAGCCTCAAATGAAAATTTTAGGGTCTAGAAGCCATATAAAATTACAACAATCTCTGGCCCAACCAAAATAGGAATCCTTGTATCTACAATTCCTCTGAAGGAAGCCATAGACAAATACAGCTGTCAGTATTCAGTAAAAGGAGGAGGCGAAGCAGAGGAGGGGAATAGTTTTCATTTCTGGAGTACCTACTATGTGCCAGGCAGTTGGCTAAACTGTTCTACGTAAAGTGTCTTGTTCATCGTTTTTAAAACCTCTGCCATGGGTATTATCCTCATTTTAAGATAAGGAAGCCAAGGTTTAATGGGGTTATCATTTAAGAATATATAGCCAGAAAATGGGATTCTTTTACACAGATTTATGAAGGTTCCTTAAAAAATGGAGATGCCTGTTTCATCTCAGTCCTCTCAATCCCTAATGGTGGCATCTAAATTAGAAGCATAAAAAAAAACTATATTGAAGGTGAACATAAATTCCAACTCAGCACTAAAAACTCAAGGAAACAGAAACTAATTATTAAAATAATTATTAATGGTGCTCCCTTTGATCAGAGATTTAGGTGAAATTCCTTTATATTGGTCCTATGGGAAGCCATGTAGCTATATAGGATTTTGTTATAGATTTGGAAAGATGAGTTTTTCTCTTGGATTAAGTTAGTTATCTTAAGATTAATAACCTATAGGGAAATAATCTTTTAAAACTTTTCTAGGGAATACAATGAGGTAAAACATTATTAATCCCAGAATTCAAAATACAGACATTATTACATTTATATGTTTCAAAAGACTTTTAAGGTGAAACCAGATGTCTAAGAATTTCTGTGTTTCTCAATAAGAGGTCTGTCTTACTGGTGAGCATGGAGACTTGGGGAAAATAATGGGCATAGTAGAGCAATGTAACGGGGTAAGGTGTTTGTACGTAAGACAGATTGAGCACCTAGAGTAATTCAAGTTTTCAAGCACTATACTTAGTTTATAGAACGTACTTAGATATAAAATAATTTAAATACTAAAGGATGTTATTTAAAAATAAACATTTATTGGATCAAGAACTATGTTCAACATTTAATAGTGGTTATATTTAACTCTTAACAACTCCAAAAAGTAGGTATGATTAGCTCTATTTTATGAATTTGGAAACTGAGGCCCAAAGAGGTAGAGAGGCTAGCTCGAGATCATAAATCATGGTAGAAAATGTGGGAGTTAAGATTCAAACTCAGATCTCCTTGAGTCCAAAGCCCATGCTCTTGCTTCTATATCAAGTAGGCTTTTGATCAATTTCCTTGCTCACTGCCAATTCCACTGTTATTGGAAGAGCTGCTGGTATTTTGGAGGAGAGGAATGGGATTAAAAATAATTTTATTTTATTAATAATTCATACCAAATGGGAAAAGGTTATTTAGAAGAAAACCCAGTGTATTAATTATAGAGGAATAAGTATTTCCACAGAAAGAAAATGCTATGTCTGAAGCAAGTCCAATAAGAACTGGGAAGTCAGGATAAACTTCACAAAACAAAAACAAGGAAAGTAACTTAAAAAAAAGATTACCATTCAATTAGGACACGTGAATCATCTTTTAATATGTAAGAGTAAGATATTAAACAAGTGGGCAACTATATTTATAAATGTGCATTCCACTGCTCCATTCTTTAGGAGTTGTGGAGGCAAACTACAAAATGTTCAAATCAATAGAACGACAAAAGGGGACCATGGATTAACTCGAGCTGTCTGGCTCTGTGCACCCTGTATGCAGCTCATACTCCGTTCATGTTCCAGACTGAATTATATTTAAAAGTATATTTTAAAAAGCATACAGTAACAAAAGAAATGCTAATGGAAACACAAAAGGTTAATTTTCACCTCTCAGGTCAGTAAACAAGAAAAAGTCTGATAGGGCTTGTTGTTAACCAGGGTTTAAGAGGCACTTGCATTTCTGAGGGGGCATTTGAGCTGTGTGTTTTTGAAAGGTGACTTTGGGAACACGTGTGAAAATAAACAATATTAACCTTGACTGAATAACTCGTCTTGAAAATTTGTCTTAAGGTGATAATGAATATTTACAAACATGTAACAGTGCCAAATTTACAACTACTTAACACTTATAAACTTACAACTATTTAAATATCTAATATTAAATACAGAGACAGTATACAGTTAATGTATTTACAGATAAAGAATATTTTGAATAAGTAATAACTATACCATGTCTTCATTATATGTATATTATTAAAAAGTACATGCATTTCAAAGTAGAATGCCTTTTCCTACCAAAGGAACACATATTCCTAAAAGCAGCACTAACAATAATTGAAAGAATACATGAAATATTCAACAGAAATAAAATGTCAATTGAAGTTCCTTCTACTAGAGTTGAATACGTGATACCCGTCTGGGCAAAAAGTATAGATTTATGTTACTATTTGGGTAACAATTTTATTGTTAAAGCCCTTTTCTCACTTTTCTCTAGCAATGTCAATTCAAAAAGTAGGTATATACGTTTGAAAAGAAAACCATATATATTCGTGATATGCATATTACTGTTATAGAACTGTCATGTTGACATTTTACCTTGTCTTCTCAGTGAATTTTAAAATAAAAATGGCATCAGATACATTTTTACAGTACATCTTTTGACAAGTTAAACTGGCTCTTACTGATTCATTCTCTCTCAATAACACGCTGACACGCTCACCCTACTTCATCTATTAGAAGCAGCACTTACATTTAAGTGAAATCCATTAATAAAGCATCTCTTCAGTTGGAATCTAAAGGTTTATTCATAATGCCTGGATGAAAATTTACCTTTTTGACTTCTTTACTTGATCTGAATGTCTGCTGAACAAAAGAATCACTTTCAATGGCTTCAATTTCTTTTACTCTTTTTACTTGTTCTACCAGGGTGGTTTGGTCTAAAAAAGAGGGTATAATGTCAGTGTATTTTGGAATACAAGCTTGTTAACGACACTATACCTAAGCAATGTTCTTTCTTCCAAAGAAGTAATTTCATGACTTACGAAATTTAACTGGATGAAAAGAAATTATAGTTAAACTATAACAAGAAACTCTTTTCCCGCTAAGAGCCACAAATATAACATTCCTACACACTAAAATTCTCACCTAAAACCTAAAATATTGCTGGGCCGGCCGAGTGGCTCAGTTGGTTAGGTGCTCGCTCAAGAGTGCGAGCTCTGAGCAACAGCGGTTTGATGCCCGGCCTGAGCTGAGCTGCCAACAGGTGGCAGGATGGCTCAGCTTAAAAAAAAACAAAACAAAAAAACCAACCTAAAATATTGCTGAGAAGGCACTGCCATAACGATCTAAGCTAATCTGGTGGGAGGTTTAAAAAAAACCACTATTTTATTATGGAAATACACGTAAAAGGATTAAGAGCACAATAAATCCACCTGTACCCATCATCCCACTTCTATAATTAATCTATTCTTCCTCACTTCAATTTTTTTGGGTAGACCTGGAGTATTTAAAAGTATAATCGCAGATATCATACCATGTTACCCCTAAATATTTTAGGAGACATCTCTGATAGGGGTTAAGAAAAAAAAACTATCATAACTACAATACCATCTTCACATCCAACCATATTATCAATAATTCCTTAATATCACCTTATACAGTCCATGTTTAATTTTCTCTGATTGTCCAAAAAAAATGTCTTTTTATAGCTGGTTTGTTTGAAACAGGATCCAAACAAGGTCTACACATTACACTTGTTTGGTATCTTAAATCCCTTTTAATCACTTCCAGTCCACTGTTCTTCTTTTCACTGCCATTTATTTATTGAAGAAATTGGATCATCTGTCCTTTACATTTTTTTTTTTAAAGATTTTATTGGGGGATTGGGGGAGGGGAACAGACAAGTTGCTGTTGTTTTGTTCTTCAGTCTAGTTGTGGAGGACGTTGCTTCACTGGCCCAAGTTGGCACCATCATTGCGCTCTTCCCGGGCGAGGCAGATCAGTCGCCGGCTTCTGGACGGCCACTCACTGCGGCTGCTGGCCGCTCACGCTGGCTGCTGGCTACACACGGTAGCCCATGGCAACCCACTGCCACAGGGGCTGCAGCCTACGCCGTCGCCGGCGACTCACGGCAGCCCAGCTCCAGGTCGAGCTGTTGTTCAGCATCTTAGCTGTGGAGGGCAGTGTCACTGGCCTCATATGTGGGATCCGAACCGGGGCCCTCTGGCGTCCCAAGCCAGCTCTTAACCACCGCGCCACTCAGCCGGCCCTGTCCTTTACATTTTTCCACATGCTGGATTTGGCTGATTTTATTCTCATGATGTCATTTAACATGTCCCTCCATTCCTCCTAGTTTGTGCAAACCAGTAGTTAGATCTAGAGGCTTGGTAAGATTCAGTTTCAATTTCTTTTGATCGAGAGCACATTACATAGGTGGTGCTGTGGGATTCCTATTACCTCACATCAGGATGCACTTCTCCCACTTTCAGTGATTTAAGATTGAGGAGTGGGTCCAAGGCGATGTCAGCCTGACCCTTCTGTTATAAAGTTCTCCATCAACCTTTCACTTAGAGATTTTAGCAGATATTAATGTTTGTTGCTTAGATCCATCATTTCATTTTTGGTTGCAAAATGGTGATTCTATTATTTATAGGATAATTTTTCCTGCATTTTTAGGTCTGCTTCGCTCATTAACTATTGAGTGTCTGTGAAATATAATCTGTACAGGAAAAAGGCAGAACAAGTGTTTAATTCTTTCCCCGGATCAATTCTGGTACAAATATGACCATTTTGAGCTAATAAATATTTATATATTTAATGTATTTTAGTCCATGGTAGTCATGTTCATATTTTGATGCTCCAATTCGTCTTCCTTTGGTAGTGGGAGCTTCCACAAGTTGGCTCTTGCATCCTTTTGAGACGGTCCCCAGTGGGTAAGGCATGACAAGATGTTCCAAGCTCATTAGGTGCAGTTCCTGTTCCACAGCTGACATTAGCCATTTCTCTAAAGAGCCTGGACTCCTTCTAGAGGGGAATGATATTTTGAGACAGTAACTTGGGGAGTAGGGGTGTTCGTGTTACTGGACTGCACTGCTCCCCAGCCTTTTCAGTGGGTGGTACAGGAAATGCAGGCAGCCCCCGCTTTTTGAAAGTTCCCATTAGCCACTTCACTTTTACAAAAGACATACATTAGTACGTGCTTTTGCTAACTGAAAGAAATTCGAAGAGGATTTTCAATTTTATTTTTAAAAACAGATGAAAAGTGAAAATAGCATTCAGTGCTGGTTTTGCAGCAAGCCATGATAGAGGCAGCGGGCACCGAGGGGTGAGGGAAGCACTGCTTTCACTATAGGTTAGTGTTACTTTAGATTTTATGTGTTATTTGGTATGTGGCATGATTTACTTTTTGGGTTAGGGAATGCTGAAAATTTTTTTCATATAAATGAATGGTAATTGTGTCTTTGCTTTACGCCATTTCGGCTTATGAAAGTTTTCATAGGAATGCTCTACTTTTGGGGAGCAGGGGACCCCTGTACATATTTTTAGGAGAAAAAATAATATGCATTCATGCTGATACTACCTACCAAATTAAAGATTATAAAACTTTTAATAAGTCTTTGGTTTTACATTTGTATATATTTTCTCTTACTCTAAAGATCTTAGGCCTTTATAACAATGATCAATGGTACTTACTTGTTTTTCCTAATATGTCAGCTAAGTATGTATTAGTTTCAAAATAGTAAGGCAAATGTTACTATTAACAACAAGATGAATTAATGCAGTTTAAATGTTCTTTATGGTTCTTTTTGATCTTAGAATTTATTTCACTGATGAATTGTCAAAACACTATGCTCTAAAGTTACTTGAAATAATTCTCCATTTGGTCATGCTACCAACTTGATACACAGTTAGGTTAGTTTGCTTCAGTTCATTTTTTATTTTTAGGTCTTGCTTTGTTTTATTGCCTTTGTGATGAATATTTGTCTTTTAACTGCATGAAACACTTACATGGTTCTAAAGCAAAAACTTAAAACAACATTCAGAGAAGTGTAGGTTTCCTTTCCATTCCCATTGCTCTCGTTCTACCCCCAATCCATAGGTAATCACTTTTATTGGGTTTTTATTTTTATCCTTCTATGGTTTATTTCTGAAAATGTCAGTATACATATTCTCTTCTTTCTTACACAAAATAGCACACTACAAATTCCTATGTGTATTACTTCTTTCACTTACCAATATGTCTTCCCTCTCTCTACACTCTCACAGTATAAAGGCTTCCTCATTCTATTTTATAGCTGTATAGTCATCTATTTTATGGCTTTTTGATAGTTTTTCCCACCAATGCCCTACTGATGATCATTTGAGCTGTTTCCAGTCTTTTGCTTTTACAATTAACGCTTTAATAAACAGCCACGTGCATGTGTCATTTCATATACATATTTTTTCACATGGTAGCTATCAGTAAAAACGCAGTATTATGGTTCCTACCTTGGCTGTTTAAATTCTTGCTCTAAGCTAATCTGAATAACATAGGTAAGTTAGGAGCTACTACGTACTCAGCTAAGGCATCTAAAAATGTTGGCATTTTAGACTTTATGAGTAATAGCTGGGTTTACTTTAGAGAGTATGAAAAGAAATTTGGTTTCATAAGTTCAATAAAAAATTTTTTATGAAAAATCACTTTGTCAACTTTTGGCCAATCACAAATTACAATTACATAGTCTTATGCAAGCTGCAGTTTATTTAAGGGAAAGGCAGTGCTTCTGAAGATGTGTCTCTGACAGCTGTACCCAATCTTTTCTCATGTGAGAAATCATGCATGGAATGTTTGGAAGTAACAGCCCCAGCGCCAACACGCCCATCTTTGGAAGAATATATTTTCCTACATAAAAGCACTGTTAGAATGTCATGGAAGAGCAAATAGCTCCACATGCTTTAGAATAAAAGCTCCTGTGTATTTTAATTATGCAATGTACTAATTGAGCATGTGAAATGAGATGATTCTTTGCCTAGCTAACTTATTAATATGAACACACTCCATTCCAGTGGATGATATTTTTGTTAGTTACGGGTATAATAGTGTTAAAATAGCACAGAAAAATCATAATGGATACCATTCCATGTGACCAAACTTTAATTTGTCGATATGAAAACACATGTGTTTATATAGGTCTTAACTAGCTCACTGTTATTTCACAATCATTAATTCCTAAACAAAAGACAGTATTTCTGACTAAGATGACCTCCTATGTATCAACTGTGTGACCCTTTGGATTTTTTTCTTTAACATATTCTCTCATTTGAATTTACAAAGCACATCATTAGTTTTAAATGTCAGAGGTGAACTCACAAACAGTACTCAGTCTAAAGTTTGTAGTGTTTGTAGCTATAAATATGGACATACAACCAGCCAGTTTGTTTAACAAAACAGCATTGCAGAAATTATTAAGGAAGGAAGGAGAAAGATTAGAGAAAAACAGAACATTATCTTTGTGTTTTTTTAAAGACCATCCAGGACTAACAAAGTGACAGAGCAGATAAGGGAAAGCCAGTTTGCCTGACTTACGACATGAAAATAAACCAACACAGCTTTTTTACTGGTGATATTTAAATTGAAGAGTGTGATATTTGAATTAAAGAATAAGAATTATATTTAAATTAAAATTTGAAAGATTGATGGGAAGTTTACATTTTTAGCCTTATAATAGCCCAGCTCCATTCTGTCTGAAAAAATAGACTTAGAAAACGTTTTAAACTTCTTCATTCTCAAAATTCTAATATCAATGTCCACAAATGTTATATCTTGATTATAACTGTCATTTTGGGAAGTAGAATAAAATGCATCAATAATATACAGTAAATTGTTTTAAATTCAGGTTAAGTTATACACGCCAATTTTTCATTTAAAAATTCTGTACCAATTTTAAGACAGGGAAAA